GGAAAAAAAAAAAAAAAAAAAAAAAAAAAAAAAAAAACAGATATGCCTTTTAGAATTTAAAGGGTGACAAGCACACAATTGATCTAGAAAGTCCAACAGCAATTTGCGCACCCAGGAAGGGACAGAGAGAACTACAAATCTGAGCAAAGAGAATTGAGATCTCACAGCGACTACAGAGAAACGTCGGGCGATATGTAACAAGTAGCCTTTCCGTCTTGCTACGTTCTATACAGCCCCACAACAACTGGCGCAGCCCCGACTGGTCTTATACTGTCCTCACGTCGTCATAATACTAATCAAATGCTCCGATGACGAAATGTTGGAACAAGTAAAAAGGGGCTTAGGTCTGCCCCTTTTTACCACGTAGGAAGGCGTGCAGCTTTCAGAACAAGCAAGCTGAGCGCATGCACGTCTCTCAGAGAACACAGAGTTCTGCATGTCCTGAGGACCAAGTTTTGCCCACAAGGATGGGCAGACCTAAGCATACGGCACTAAACGCTAATCACAGCACAAAGAGTGGGCAAGAAACCCAAAATCACCCCACACATGGGGATCGGCATTGTGGACGGTGCGGAGCACTCAATACAACACAGAGAACAAAGGACAAACAGGAGAATCTGACATGGCACAGAATGAGACACTGACCAATAAGCACAATCATCAGGATCGACTTTGCATTAGCGCGGCCAGCGACTTCTGAAACGGACCCTTGTGCTGATGCCGTCAACCAACGGAGAGGAAATTAATATTATTGCAAAACAAAAGAGCGCACAGCAAGAGGAGAACTCGTTCCCCCGGCACTGACTGCTGTTGGCTGCAACTGGGCAGAACATGAGCATTACTTAGCACTGAGCACCGAGGAGTGTACACACTACACGGTATGTAAGCACCAAGCATTAACCTCGGACCAGCAAGTGCACTGAGCACAGAGCACCAAGGGCTAAGCACCGAGCAAAACAGTAAATACACTGAGCACGGAACACTAAGAACTAATGACTGAGCATTAAGCACTGAGCATTCTGAGTACTGAGCGCAGAGCAGACCACTGAACAGTGAGCAAGGAGCACTGTACTAAAACTGAGCACTGAGCACTGAGCACCGAGCACTGAGCACTGAGCACCAAGCGCTGAGAACTGAGAACTGAGAACCGATCACTGAGCACTGAGCACTCAACACTGGGCACTGAGCGCTGAGCACCGAGCGCTGAGAACTGAGAACTGAGCACTGAGCACTAAGCACTGAGCAGCAAAAACTGAACACTGACTGAAACTGCACACTATGGGCACTGAGCACTCTGAGAACTGAGCACTGAGGACTGAGCATTCTGAGTACTGAACACTCAGCAGACCACTGAACAGTGAGCATGGAGCACTGCTCACTGAGCACTGAGGATTGGGTTCTGAAAACTGAGCACCGAGCACTGAGTACTCAACACTGAGGACTGAGCACCAAGCACTGATCGCTGAGCACTGAGCACTGGGCACCATAAACTGAGCACTGACTGAAACTGGGCACTATGGGCACTGAGCACTCTGAGAACTCAGCACTGAGGGCTGAGCACTCTGAAACTGGGGACTCAGCACTCCGGGCAGTAAGCAATGCGGAATGAGCACTCTGGGCACTGAGCACTGAGCACCAGCACCACAGATCACTGAGCACCAGGGTCTCCATCGATCTCGGCGTTGAGACACCAATGACTCCAAAAGAATAGGAAACCCCCTCCCTTCTGTCGGAAGCCTATATCCCAAGATTGCTCATACTCACAATCCTTGCTAAAGCAGCTACTTTCCCCCATAGCCATGGTTCAATTCACCCCTTGCGCACTCAGCTTGCCACAATCAGATTGTCAGTTGAAGATCGCTGGACTTGATTACGATGGTCATCGGTCATGAGAACATAGTGATATCCTGCACCAGATGAATTTTGCCCCTTCGGTGTTTCTCAGACGTAAGAGTTCAGGCGAAGACTAATGGCATAATCACTCTAGGACCTCCCTGGATGTATCTCACCGATTGCCCTTGCATGTTGCAACAACAAATTCTAACAAAAAGGAGAACGGGCGGCCGATAAAATGTGCAGAAGTGCACATGCACAACGACTGTGGAGAAGCGTGCATGCATTAGGATAGGATAGGAGATGTGGGTCGATGGTCACAAAAATAGTTCACGGAACCTTTCACCCTCCTCCGCTGACATTTACAGGTGTCCCCCCTTATGTAACATGGGCTTGTCAAACCCCTAAATCACTTCTTTGGGGGCTTCTGGCGGGCTCAATTTATACAATTTTACACGCAATTTGTCTGGTTGTGGGTTTCCGACTTTCCATTTACGGAAGCTGGCTGCTTGACGAATTCCATCTCCCGATCGCATCTCCAATTCTTGCTCCATCCAAGGTTGCAGTGACATTATGCCCTCGGACGATATTTGCTCCTCCAGAGACAGCCGCTGCCTGGAATGACAAATGACACGGAAGCAACTGCGATTAGACGGAGTTCCAACCCGATCCGACTTTCACTGAAATTACATTGCCACTCGATGCACACACACGCATACACAGAACGGTCTGGTACTGTCATACTTTCTTTTTGTGGAGTTGTGTGTGTGTGTGTGTGTGTGTGTGTGTGTGCGCATGCTTGCAAGCTCGCTGTGTTGTCATACTTTCTTTTCGTGGACTTGTGTATGGCGAGCATGGCAACACAGCGAGCTTGCGAGCACACACACACACACACACACACACA